GCTGGTGATTTCACCTTTACTAATAGCGTACTCTCTCTCTCCCTTTTAAATTTTAATTGATCAAATACTCATACTTTGCCAGGCACACTGGGCTACACAAAGGTAGGGTGTTCGCAGAGTACGCGTGGAGATGATGGGAGAAGGCTGGCAGTTTTGTGCTAGTGTCTGGCGGGCTCTTCAGCCTGGTCTAGGGAAAGAGGAAGAGCTTCCCAAGAAAGCAAAGTAAGGCTGAGTCCTGAGGGGTGTCAGGAGATAGCCCTGTTTGGGGGCGGAGGGAGTAGAATGCAAAGATAAAAATGAAAGTTATAGAGAAAGATCACCCAGAGCTGCTCCTTTAGTTCCAAGTGAAAACAGTAGGCCTGGAGAACCTCCCAGGTGCACCCACATTTAGTGGAAAAGCAGGAACCCAGGCCTACTGATCGCCCTGTGTTTTTTAAATTTTTAATTCATCTTCATTGTTGAAAGAATTACAGACGTCTCTCATTCCCCCCCCCCCCCCGATTGTCCACCCCTTCCTGCCCCCCGCCCCGCTTCACTGCACTGATTTCTGTGTCCACTGGTTATGATATATGCATATAAGTTCTTTGGTTTATCTCTTCCTGCCCCCCACCCACTTCCCTCTGAAGTTTGTCAGTCTGAACCCTACTTCCATGTCGCTGGATCTATTTTGTTCATCAGCTTATTTTGTTCATTATATCCCACAAATAAGTGAGATCATGTGGTACTTGTCTTTCTCTGACTGACTTATTTTGCTTAGCATAATACTCTCCAGGTCCTGGAAAGCCCTGTCTTGATTTGTACCAGGAATTAGGTCACCAAATAGATACATCTCAGTCAAAGCCACCTTGGAAAGACTACTCACAAACTTCATTATGTTTCCCCTTCAGGTGTCTGATTCTACTCTGTTTATGAGAAACTCCACATGCCCTTCCACCCTTGGCTCCCGTATGCCATGTATCTGTAAAAATGAAGATCTGCTCTAGGATTGGCTGGTGAGTAACCTAAAGAGATGTCCCTACTTAGGACTGACTGTGTGGCCTGGACCATGTGGCTAACGAGGCATCTCTAAGCAATGGGCCGTGAGTGGCACCAGCCCTAACATTTATGCTGCATGTGACATGTTAGAAGACACAACCACACAGAAAGTTTCATCAGATACTGCTTTGTTGCCAAAAGGTTCAAGAGGCCATAAATCAATCATTGTGCTTCCGGAATATTTGGCCCTTGGATCCTGCCTTCATCAGAAATTCACTTTGCTGAAGGGTGTTGGCTTTCCTTCTGGCCATAATTCCCAGTTCAGAACCTGGGATGAAGTCAGCCATGATCCCCAGCCCTGGCCGTTGCATGGTGCTTTTTTTATGGACTTCAAAGCATTATCAAATGTGTCATCTCATGGAATTCTCACAAAACTCTATCAGAGAGCCAGATAGAAAAGTCCTGATTTAGTGGATGACGAAATAGAGACTCAGAAGAGTTAAGAAACTTGCTCTAAGCCTCCAAGTAGTGAGGCTGACCCAGGACGTAAGGCCAGGTCTTAGGCCTTCAAGTACAGATCTTTCTTAGAGAAATAGGGAGCCAACAGCATCTGACTCTGCATCAGACCACACCCTTAGGGTCTCCTGTGCCCTGATACAGGTCTTCCCAACACCAACCAGCCTAGGTGTTGGCACCTTCTTGAGCCATTCTCTCTGATTAGACTTCTCTGTACATGGATGGTGCCTGACTACAACACCATCCATGGGTGTACCAGAGTGCTTTGCCAGTGGGCAGCAGAGACTACAAGGCTGTTCATGAATATCACAGACACCCTGCAACTTCTACCCTACTCCAGGCCATTCTCTAGTGGGCAGGCCAGGAATCCTGAAGCTGGGCCTTATTTAACCAAATCAATGACACATACTACCCAGCTGTTAGACATGGGGAAAGGGCCACTGGGGCTCCAAGGGAGAGGGGGGCTGGCTCAGAATATTGGACAAGGGGATGGTAATTAGACTCCCTTTGTGTTGTTGACAGCAGAACTAGGGCAAACTGCTGAGAGTGTCGGGAAGCAAATTTTAATCTATAGCAAGGAAGGACTTTCTACCCCTTTAGAGCTATTCAGAAGGAGAAGATTTTGTCGTAAGCAATCGTTTATCTGTCATTCATGGGAGTTGCCAGTTCCACTGCTAAAGAGCAAGAACTGACAGAAGAGGCTTTTTCAGTCAAACTAAAGCCCATCAATTTTTCTTTATTAGGCCCAACCATTGGTCCTAATTTTAGATGCTGGATCAGCATCAAATAAAGTTAATCACTCTTGCACATTTTATAAGAGGGGCTTATAAATGAGCTTCTAATTGGTGGAATTTCAAGCATGGTTATAAAGTGAAATGAAGAATTTCAGGCCAATGGGGAGATATTTTGGGGTAGTGTGGTCTTTTCAGAGCCCTTAACCCATGCTGCAAAGCTGATCAGCTATCATCTAGGGTTGGGTGAGTGTATGAGAAATTCATTTAATTTCCAGTTGCTAAAGAACCTTTTGGTGGGAACACAGTAGAACCAATAGGGTTTTATAAGTTTCTTCTGAGTCTTTGGTAAATGCCCCTGCCCTTTAGACTAAGATTATGCAGTTGAGTCCCCTGATTTAGGAAATGGCTCTGCTGGATGGGACAGAGGGAGGAGGGAGCCTCAGTGATTTCTGCATCTTGTTGTCCACTTGCTTGGGGGATTTTGTGGAAAAAAATGCAAAGTATTAACTTAAGCTGTGATGGTTGCACCCACAAGCTGGACCTCAGAAGTCCACCAGTTCGTCAAGCCCGTGGTATTAGACAAGGCACGTCATTACTGGAGGTTGTCTGGCTCCTTCCTTTGTGGTCACTGTTAGCTGGGAGCAGCATTGCACACCACTCAAGAGGTATTTGAGCTTCCCAGTGGAAGTCACAAGCAAAGACAAGTGCCACTGCCTGCAAAGTGTGTCTGTAGGGTCTCTGGCTCCACTTTCTATATCACTTTCCTCCTTTCTGCCTTCTCGTGGGCAGTTTTGGACCACATTGGGTCCCAAGTATGGTGGAAGCAATAATGTAGTACTTTAGTTCCCACTGAGTGCTAGTGGCTCACTCTGTGCAGCCTCTATGCCTAGCCTAGGGAGGTGGTACAATCAATTTTCTGGATACTTCCTGCTTTCTCAGCCTTCTTTCCAACTAGCCTACTAATCCAATTAGTATTCTCTGTCCTTTAGGTGATAACAAGGAAATGGCCTGGCCTTCTATACATGCATCCATCCATCCATCCATCCATCCATCCATCCATCCATCCATCCATGATGCATGCATTTATTCATGCATGCCTTTATTTGACAAGCACTTACTGAGCTTTGCCTTAGAGTCAGACACTGTGCTAGGCATTAGGGACATACTCAGGGTAAAATGAGGTCTTTGCATGACTAGCTTATAGACAGGCTTGCAAATACATATGTTTAGTACAAGATAGTTGCTGCCATGGAGGTTTGCACAAAGGGCAGTGGGACCCAGGAGAGGATTGGCTGCCTGAGGGGAGGCAAGGAAGGTGTGAAAGGAACCTTGGTAATTGAATCAGCTTTTTTTTTTTTTCCTTAAAGAGACAGACAAGTGGTCAGGGAAAGTTTTGTGCGGGTAAGCTGCCCAGAGATAAAGAGACAGCACGCTGTGTTTGAAGAGAGGTTCCAGGAGGGCAGGGTTTGTACTTGCTTTGGCTCCTCACTGTAAATCTGCTCGTGGTGGACTCTTGCTCTTTCTGGAATACAAAGCTATGCCTATAGTGTTAAGTTTATGCACCTGAATTAAATTTTACTTTCTGTCAAACTAGTACATGCACATGATTACAAAATTCAAATTTATGCCAGGACTTTATAAAACCTAGCATTTCCTTGGCCTACCCATTTTTAATCTTGAGGCTTACTCCCTAGAAATACTATTTTCAACATTTTAAGCTCTTATTGCTGGCATTTACCTTCATATTTCTAAATAATATTATTATATTGCTCTATCTCCAGGACATTATTTTTTAACTTCCATCTACAGAATGGTAGGCTTTCTCTCTTTGAGCTGACACACCGAGCCTTCTTTATCTTCCATTCTCCCAGAGCAGTTATATTGCAATTTTCTATTAAGTGAATCTTTAGGATTTTCATATTTATATCTTATGAAGATATCCACAAAGGAATGAAAATATGATTATTTCCTTTCTTCCCTCCCAGTTTTACCGAGATATAATTGACACGCAGCACTGTGTAAGTCTGAGATGTACAGCCCCATGACTTGACTTACATGTATAGTAGTCCCTCTTTCTCTGCAAGGGATAGATTCCAAGGCCCCCAGTGGATGCCTGAGGCCACAGATATAGTACTAAACCCTATAGATGCTATGTGTTTTTCCTATAAATGCACACCTATGACAAATTTTAATTTATAAATTAGGCACAGTGAGAGATCAACAATAACTAATAATAAAATAGAACAATTGTAACAATCAACTGTAATAAAAGTCATGTGAATGTGGTCTCTCTCTCTCTCTCAAAATGTGTTGTTATGTTGTACTCACCTTTTCATTTAAAGGAAGTACTTCATGGCTTTTTACTTTTTTACTTTTATTTATTTTTGGCATATTTCAATTGCCAGCATCACTAATTTTGTGCTTCGAGGGCATTATTAAGTGACATAAGGGTTACTTGAATACAAGTACTGTGATACTGCAGCAGTTGATCTGATGACCGAGTTGGCTACAAAATGACTAACGGGTGGGGAGCATATACAAAGTGCATATGCTGGGCAAAGGGATGATTCATGTCCTGAGTAGGAAGGAGCAGGCCAATGAGAAATTTCATCATGCTACTCAGAAAAGTGTGCAATTTAAAACTTATGAATAGTTTATTTCTGGAATTTTCCATTTAATATTTGTGTACCTCTATCGACCATGGGTAACGGAAAGCACAGGAAGTAACACAGAGGATGAGGGGAGACTACTGTATTGTGAAATGATTACCATAATAAATTTAGTTAACATCCATCAAATGTGCATGGTATCCTTGCACAGGGACCGTGCTAATCTTTGCTGCATCGGTCCAATTTTAGTATATGTGCTGTCAAAGGGAGCACTTACTTCCTTTCTTAAACAACCTTTTGTTTTTCTAAGAACTAAGATTGTCAAATTTAATAGTTTTTCTAGTTTCCTGTATACCTACTGTTTATTCTTCCCCCAACTTTCCAGTGGAGCTACAAAGATCCCCTAGACACAGTCAAGCCCATTGGGTGCTGAACAGTGTTGATTTTTCCTTGAAACCAACACTCTGAGGCCCCCCGACCCCCACCTCTATTGATTTAGACTGGATCCCTTTAGGAATGCTGTATCCTCATGCCTCAGTTTTCCCTGCACGGCTCTCTTCTGATAATCTCCTTCTTCCTGAATCTCGTGTCTTTTTACTCTCTTGCTTTGGTGAAAATCCTCTTAGAAGCTCTCATGAAAACACATGTAGGGTAAAATTTGCATATCAGAATATGTCTTTTTTGTTTTGTTTTTTATTTTTGTTACAGATGTTTCTCCTTTTTTTCCCCATTGATACCCTCCTCCCCATCCCCCCACCCCATCCCGGCTTTGTTGTCTGTGTCCATTGGTTATGCGCACATGCATATAATTTCTGTGGTTTATTGTTTCTTCATATTTGACTTACCATTTGATTGGATATAGATTTCTAGGATGGAAATACATTGCTCCACTGCAGTGATTTTCGACCTGTTTTATCTCATGGAACATAAACTAATTAGCACTAGAATTCTGTGGCACACCAAAATATATATTTTTTGCCAATCTGATTTAAAAAATAGGTATAATTTTGATTCATTCACACCAGATGGCTATTGTATTGGTTGTCATTTTTTAAAAAATATTTTCTTCTTTATTGATTTTAGAGAGAGAGAAAGGAGAGGGAGAGATAGAAACATTGATGAGCGAGAACATCGATTGGCTGCCTCCTGCATGTCCCCCACCGGGGATTTGGCCTACCACCTGAGCATGTGTCCTGACCAGGAATCAAACCAGGGACCTCTTGGTGCATGGGTTGATGCTCAACCACTGAGCCACACTGGCTGGGCTATTGTCATTTCTTTATTTGACAGTCTAAGGGAAAAGAGGTCAGTGCTCCTGACTAAATAGTCAGGTATTGCATGTTTTAAAAATTCTTGTGGCATACTGGCTAAAAATTACTGCTCCACTGTATTCTAGGTTCTAGTGTTGCTATTTGGAAGGCTGATGTTTCTTGATTCCTAGTCTTGTGTATCGATCTTTTTTTTTTTTTACCCTTTTCTGAAAGTGTTTACCCCTACTCTTTATCCTGGGATGTTTTGAAATTCCATAATGATATATCTAGGTGTGCATTTTTTTCATTCATTATATTTTACCTTTTTTTATGAATCATTCACATCTGAAATTTTATATTCTTCAGTTATGAAAATCTTGGGATTTATTCTTTATAATTACCTCTCTTGTTGTCTCTGAGCTCTGTCAAAATTTCTATTAAGATACTATTGGACCTCCTTATGAATGCTTTAATTTTCTATTATTTCTTTCCTTTATTTCACTTGTTGTCCTTTGTCTACTTCCAAAGAGATTTCTTATATTAGTCTTTGGAAGTCTATTTGATTTTTAAAGTTTATTTCATATTTAATACCCATGAATTCTTTTTAATTTTTTGACTATTCTTTTACAATAGATTTCGGTTCTTGTTGCATGGGTACCTACCTTATTTTTTCTGAAGATAGTAATAGTTTTTCAAATAGAATTTTTTTGCTTCCTGATTTATACCTTTGTTTTCTCTAAGTCCCTTATTTAGAGTTTTTGGCTTTTGTCAGAGTTTTTCTTAAATGTCTGCTGATCCTTGGCTATCTGTTCATATTTTAGAGTGAGGAACCATGTTGCTGACTAGAATTCTGTGGTTATGGGTGGTCCTTTTACTGATGTGCTTCAGTGTGAACTGACTAGGTCCTGGAAATTTTCTTAGCTAACTCACCAATGTCAAATTCTCTAGAGACAAACCCTTTAGCTTTTCGTCTCATTGTCGAATCTTCCGTGAGTCTGGTAGGTGAAGGAAGGGGAGAGGTTCTCACCACTCAGTCTTTAGACTTCACTTTAGGTAGGTGCTGGTTCTGAAGGAGGCAGGTCTAAGGACTATCTCTTAGACCACCCACGTGTAGGAAAGAGAAGGAGGGTAAAGTTAATGAAGGGGACAGAGGACTGGTCAGAATGTGAGAAAGAGACCCAAGGAAGTGAGAGATGATCAATAGCATTGACTGTTGCCCAATCAGTTGACTTTAGGCAACTCTTCCACGTTATAGTGGAGGTAGAATCCTGATTGTGGGGAAAAGAGACGCCAAATGGCTTTGCAGAGACTAAACTCTTCTCACTTAAACTGTGTCCCTTTCATGGGCATTGCTACCTTCAGTTGTATTTCTTCCAAAGGTTTGAGTATATCCTGGAGAATAGGGGATGCAGGCACATCAGCCATCAGAAGTGCTTGACAGAAGACAAGAGGGATTCTTAAATCTATGAAAGTAAAAACAAACACTTTATTTAAGGAAAAGAAAACTTGGGGGAAAAAAGTCTAATATCCTTTGAGATGGCATGGAGGGACCTGGAGAGTATTATCCTAAGCGAAACAAGCCAAGCAGAGAAAGACAAATATCACATGATCTCACTTATTTGTGGAATATAATGAACAAAACCATCTGAGGAATAGGGTAGACCCAGAGACGTGGAAGTAGAGTGCAGACTGACAACCCTCAGTAGAGGGGGTTGGGGGAGGGAAGAGATAAACCACAGAACTTATATGCATGTATGCATAACAAAGCTGGGGACAGGGTGAGGGGAGTGGATGGGGAGGAGGGTGTCAATAAGGAAAAAGGGAGAAACATCTGTAACAAAAAAAAAGTCTAATAAGTAACTCACTCAGTACAGCTGGCTTAAGCACTTTAAAGCCAGTGTCTGTGATAAGCAATGAAAACATTAATATAAAATACTTCATCATAGATGAGTACAATTCAGGCTGATGTACTGCATCTGAGCTGGCTGTCAGATGGTCTGTTTTTAAAGTGATGTTTGCAATCAGTGTTTGTTTTCTTTGGTAACAAGAAGAAGGCAAAAATGGCTAGTCGTCCTGCCAGGGTGTGGCTCTGAGCCTTGGGAAGGTGGGCACCCTGCCAGGCAGCTGACTTTCTCCTAGGGCCCCATCATCTGGAGACAGGGCAGGTAGGAAGCCCAGAGCAAGGTGGCGAGGGCCTGGGTCCAATCAGCGGCCAGATGTGAGGTCTGAAAACAGTGGGTTGGTATTTCTAGGCTCTTTGTATCCCCAGCTAGTCTTAGAGGTCACAGAGGGCGTCTCCCAGGTGCTCTGAGACCATTATGCTCACACCCTGCTGAGTCTCCTCCTTTTTTGCCCTAGAGTCTCTTCAGAGTGGCACCCATTGAGCTCCTCAACCCTGTAGTTTGTTCAAAACAAGTGTGATTTTTACTTTGACATTTTAAAATTTATTGAACAGGGAAAAATACCACCTGTCAACATGGTTATGGAAGAATCAGATAAAATGATGATATGAAAGGATGTCAAGGCTTTTTTGGGAGGGCCACAACCTGGGCATGTGTCCTGGCTGGGAATTGAATCAGTGACCTCTTGGTGCATGGGTCGACGCTCAACCACTGAGCCACACTGGCCAGGCCAAGCCTTCTTTTTAATGTATGGGTAAGCAGATAATCATCATCTAAAGGACATCCTTCTAATTAAGCAATACTACTAATAATAATTGTAATAATAGCAGCTCACATTTGCTGTGTGCCAACTTTATGCCAGGGGATGTGCCTCCTGGGAATGTACCCTTGGCTTCCTGCTGGTCCTGGTCCCAAGCCTGTGTGGACAGCTTTCTCTTGACCTTTGGAAGCACTTTCTCCCTCCCTCAGGGCTCCATCAGGATGCTGCTGCTCCCCTGTTGCCAACATTGCTTCTATATCCCAGGTTTCTCGCAGTCCTACTGGCTGACTGGGGGAATGGGAGCTGTTTTGTTTTGTTACGTTATCATTGTTGTCCATGAAATGAATCACAAAACCCTTTCCCAAGAGTGTTCAACTGTCAGTCACTACAGGGAAAATGAACAAAACAACATGGATGGCAAGTGAAGGGGTCAGAGCTGCTGAGCCCTCTTGGTAGCTTGTGGTTCCTGAATCCTTATTAAGGTGATGACTCCAGAGTTTCCCAAAAGCGGCCGAGAGCCTCTCTCACGGTCTCGGGCTGATGATGACTTAGGAGTGAAGCCACCTGTTCAGACTATTTGGGTGCCTGTCTGCTGCCTTGAGGGGAGAGGGGCTGGATGTGCTCAGTCCTCCCAGCACCCCTCAGGTAAGGAGTTGGGTTGCTTCTCTGGACCCCAACAGAGTTTCTCTCTGGATTCAGAAACCCTACACTGTTTCCTATTAGTTTCCTGTGGCTTCTTTCACAAATAACTACAAGTTTAGTGGCTTAAAACAACACAAACTTATTATCTTACAATTCTGGAGGTCAGAAGTCTGATGCAGGGCGTCGTGGGCTAAAATCAGCTTGTTGGCAGGGCTGGGCTCTTCCTGGAGTCTCCTGAGAAGAATCTGTCCTCTGCTTTGTCTTTTCTAGCTTCCAGAAGCCACCCACATTCCTTGACTCGTGGCGCCCTTCACCTTCAAAGCCAGCGATGGCTGGTTGAATCCTCATACCCCCTGGTCATGACTCTGACACTCCTGCCTCCCTCTTTTATCTTTTAAAAATCCTGGTGATGGCCCAGCTGGTGTGGCTCAGGGGTTGAGTGTCGACCCAGGCACCAAGAGGTCACCAGTTTGATTCCTGGTCAGGGCACATGCCCAGGCTGTGGGCTCGATCCCCACTGAGGGACATGCAGGAGGCGACAAATTGATGTTCTCTCTCATCAGTGTTTCTCTCTCTCTCTCCCTCTCCCTTCCTTTCTCTCTAAAATCAATAAAGAAAAAAAAAAGTCTTGTGATGACAGTAGGCCAACCTGAGTAATCCAGGATATGTGTCCTATTGAAGGTCAGCTGTGAGCTACCTGGATTTCCATTAGCAACCGTC